CCCACCCACAATAGATGCATGGATATCCAGGCAAATAGTTAAGGGAGAAGGACACTTCTAATAAGTTTGATATTATACTGGTCTGAATATGAATCTGAACCCTTATCATCAGAGGGTTACTCCTTATAGTATATCAGAATATGCATTTGTTGAAAAGTTTAAAAAGCACAGAAAACATTTGAGGTTCATGCACTCACATTAACTGTTGATTTGGCTCAACCAGCCTAATGTCACTTAGGCTAGGGACAGCAGTTACATATAAACCAGTTTAAGTGATCAGAAACTGGTTTAAACCTGTAACAGAACACAAGCTCTGTGCACATAAACCAGCTTCAAACTGACCCAAACTGGTTTAAGATAAACCTGGTTGAATGTAGTATCAGACTTTACAGATTTGGGTCAAACAAGTTTATGAAACTTCTGTCCTGATCCCTTCCCAGTTCAAGTTAAATCACAGTCCCGCATCATCCCAGAATGCTTTGCAGCCCTGGGCTGGGCTGTGCTTCTGCTCCAGAGAGCAGAGCTGACCCTGCCCCACTGCTGCCTAGCTAGAGCCATGAGGGCTGGCTGACAAAAGGCTGGGGGGAAGCAAGCCCAGCCTGGAATTCAGCCCAGCCTGCAGTGAGATGGGGGGGACTTCTCTCCCCCAACCCCCCTCCCATCTGGTGTCTGGGGCCAGGGAGGGGGGTTAAACATCCCTTCCCCCACTCAAATTTACTGCTGGCTGCAACTGTGGACTACAAATCCCAGAGGCACCTGGAAGCAGGAAGAGGAAGTGATGAGCAACCCTGCAGAGTCCTGCTGCTCCAATTCTGGACTGCAAATCACAGAGACCTTGGAGGCAGCAGAAAGAGGGAGTGAACACACAGCCAGAGCTGTGTTCTAACACCTCCCAGCTTCTGGCCTGAGCCACTGCAGGCATGTGGCTGTATTTTCTGTATCAAAGGTAAATGTCTGTTCACTTCTGTTTCAATTTAATTTGTGCATCTTAAACTAACCTGCAAAGACTGAACTGATTCAGCCTTGGGCTTTTTTCTATACCTAGCCATAATCTCTAGACTGCAGATAAATAGCTAACAATGTGAAGTGTGAAGACACAATGCCAGGTCTTTTGCCCCTCTTTCTTCCAGTGTACTGTTCCCTCTCAAAGACAACCTCTCAAGGACAACCTGCCATCAGATATAATCACTAACACAGCTGTTTGGCTCAGGCAACTAACAGCATGTTGAAAAGCTGATGAACAAGAACAATGAATCCTTCATCACAAGAACTGCTTTTCTCTGGAAATATATTTGTGTACCCTTACAAAAATTTTAGAAAAGCTTTGCTCTTAGACTGATATTTTAGTTGGAAAAGAGGTTCAGGAGAGAAGAACTGATATTGCTGTTTCCTTACCTGCATGTAAGCATTACTGGATTGGTGGCCTGGCTTCTGGGGCTGGTGTCTTTGATCCTTAGCTCTACCAGGTGCCCTCACAAACTTGGCAAAGCAAGAAAACCACTGTAGTGGTGCTCCCTCCTTATGACTGTTCTGAAGATCTCTGCCTCTAGCTTGCTTTGCAGCTGCCACAGGAAGTGCCTCTGGAGTGGCATTACCACCATGTTTTAAGGGATTCACATACCTAAGTGGGAGAAGGGGAGTTGGCAGAATTGAAAGCAGCCATCTCTAGCTACATTTGGGGAGTGGTGAGGACATATTCTGAGCATTGAAGTAGATATGGGACTATCCTATCTCTTTGCATTTTATCTTTTTATTTAAACAGTCCATAAGCCATTTGTCCATGTGACAGATTTGAATTGAATCAGGTTGAAAAAGCCAGGGTATTTTTTCCCACCACCATAGATTAGAATTTTTAGTTTTTAAAAATATCATTTACACATTTGTAATTGGTAATTTTGCAGTTCAGCAATAAGGGTGACCTGGGCAGCACATTTCTGCTTTTGCTGAATTAAAACAAAATATTTTTTCCTGAGCTTCATGACTTTACCAGTGCTTACTCCATGACAAATTTAACATTCAAAGGCTGCTTCCCTTCTTCCAGGCACCCTAAAATATAAAGCACTTATGCAATCATGAATAAGAGTAAAATAAATAGTAATGATATGCATGTTTATAAGCCCTGTTAGTTGAAGATCTCAGAGACCTTAAAAATTAAGTTTCATAATTCCCTTGAAGGATAGTTATGAATTTTTATTGCAGAAGGCATCAGCTGACATCGGTACAGAATCTGAAGGGTTTTTGTTTTTTTTTAAATGACGTGAAGTCGTAGAAGAAAATGCTTCTTGGAAAAAAAATAGGTGTGCTAGGTTGTTTGATAGGTTCTCTTGATGATCTGTAACTAGCAACCCTTGGACTTCGGCTTCCATTTAATTCCTCTAAACACTATCAACTGTGAGGGCAGAACAGACTTCCGGAAATTGAGTGTGTCTAGACATTCATATTACTCCAGTGTCTATTGTGCTGGGGTTTATTGCTCCCAGGTGCCACAATGTCATGTGTGCCTGGGACTGTAGCCTGTTGAACCGGGTCAGAGTAGCGCCAGCTGGCAGAGAGCCCTGGGAGTTAGCCTGTGAGCCCGGGCCTGCTCTGACCCAGCTCAACATGCTGCAGAGAGACTGAATGGCTCAGAAAGGTCCTCTAGTTTGGGGCTAGCCAGGAGGCAGCCCCTACCCTGAAGTACCCTCATGCCCCAGTCAGCTGTCAGTATCTACACATGCACTGCTGCAAAGTAAAAAACTCCTCAGTAGGGTATTATTTTTTTTATATGTACTACCCTGCTGCAAAGTTTATTAGTTTACTTCAGCATAATAGCCTTGGATGTATAGACACTAAGATATTTGCTGCAGAGCTAATTGGTCTACTCTACAGTAAACATCTCATGTAGATGCACCCACTGAGTATTGGAGTCTGGACTGTGGCCTGCAGGGGTGTAGCAGCATAGATCCATGTCCAGGGCAGCCACACAGCACCCAGCATAATACCAGCTCTGGCTGCGCCAACTACAGCAATGTGATCAGCTTCCACTGCAGAAACAGCTAGCTTCCCCCCCATCCATCCAAAGGTGGCACCTGAGGTTGTCGTCTTGGTCACCACCCCTCAGTTATGCTACTGGTCACCTGAAAAAGGATACTGTCCGCTCAATGTTTGAGACCACCTCTGAAGGTTAAGCTTTTTCACACACAAATTAGAAGGTTAGAAGGGAGCATTATGATCATGTAGACTGACGCAGGTGACAGAATTCACCCAGAAATTCCTATATTACCTCAGTAATTCCTGCTCACTGCACTGCACAAGAGTGGCTATTATTACATTTTCTACAGATCATCTGCCAGACAACCAGATGAACTGGGGTCACCAATCATTTGAAGAAATGATGGCCTAGTGACAAATGCCTCTGTGTTTCATACTTCCTGTTCCCTGAATCTAAAAAACTTCCTGCTACCAATGGAATCTTATATACTGTATTTGCCAATTGCTTGCAGAGGGAAGGGAGGGAGGATGAATCTAAATACAAGTCCTTGTAAAGAAGAGCACACACAGCATGAGCCACTACTGTATATTTCAGTATATTCACTCTGCTTTCTATCTGTTTAAAGGATCAAAGGGCTCAAAAAATGCTATTTTAAAACCAATATCCTCTTTAGCCTCATTATTCTATTTTTTAATGGTATAGTAGAGATACTGCACGGAATCTGATATTTCTTATGGTGACATATATCAGCAATAGAAAAAAAAAGAAAGTGTTATTTTATATTAGTAATCTGTTATCTGATCTATATTTTGATAGACTCAAGTTGATACTGTATCTGGTTAAAGCAGATAATTGGAACTATCTGTGGATAAAGTCAACACATCACCAGTGAAAACTGCCGTGAACATCAAAGTTTCCTCTGTACTGTGAAGTTTCGGTTAGAAGTAATTCAAGGTTGCCCACTGGGAATAAAGCTTATATGTAGCAGCATAGATCAGTGTAATTAAAGCTCAATTATCCATTCCAGGGTATCTTAATCACAAATCATCTGTACAAGGATCTCTCTTGAGTTGAACTGTGATAAGACAACATGTTTAAAAGCAATATGTGCATTCTTAGACATATGCAAGCATGATCTCTCTCTTTTATCCAAATACTCAGGATTTCAGTAATAAAGACTAGGATCTGGATCTGATTTATCTTGTACAATACTTTAAGTATTTTTACAATTACTCGATTCCAAAATCTACAAGGACCATCTAGAAAAAGGCTGATACCACAAGTATTGTTAGACTCTGATCAAATTAAATTCCTTTAAAAAAAGTAACATTTGGTCTTATGTTGAAGTATTCTCCATAATAATCAAAAGAACAGAGTAGCAGAGAGAAACAAAAATATTCCCAATACATTTCAATTACACTTCAGCAATAATGTATGCATGCTCAGGAAAGCAACCACCTCTCTCTGATTATCATTGCAGATTGTTAATTAAAGGGATCAAGGGAATTTCATTGCTTTAGGAATACTGAAAGAAACAAAAGGACAAACCGTTCGAGCCAAACTTTGTTGGAAGCTGGTGCCTTTCCGTAGATGAAGCTGAGTGGAAGTGGCTGCCTTGCGGAGACTGTCATGACTACCCAAAGTCTGATCACTGCAATTTGGAGAGGAGGAAAAAAAATCATTTCCACTTGCCAATTGCTTCCTACACACCCCATAAATCATATTTAGATTAGTTTCCAATATTCTGTTAAACAAACTGTGATATAGGGACACTGTTTCTTGCATTTGTATCTGTAGAAGCCTGTTAGAGTTTGGTCAGGGTTGTTTTTTAGGGGATGGGTGAAAGAGGCTGAGGGTGAAGTTACATGTTACACTTAGACCACACTGAATCTCTGGAATGTTAAGCAGCTGCAAAGTTAGAATGTGATGTGGGCATCACATATTAAGGGTTCATACCCTTTCTCACCTGCATGGCTCAGACTTGCCACTAGAGGGTGGCTAAGAGCCAGGATACCTGGACTCGTTGTTGGGGAGGGAGCTGGCAACATTGTATCCTGGGATGCTGGGGGACCACAAATTGCTAATTTATCCCTGTGGAGAAAACTGAAGTTACACTAACATGAGCTGGGCCCAGTTAACCCTTGCCTGAAGTGGCTTAACTTTGACATTCTCAGAGGGTATTTAGCACAAGTTAATGAGTTTCAACTTCTGAATGCTCACATTTTAAGCACCCTTAGTATGGCCTAAGTGTAACATGTTATTTCACCCTGAGAATCACCAAACTTAGTTGAAGTTCTAATTTCAAATATATTCTATGAAGGTCAGCTATGAAGGGGGGAAAGTATTGCACACAAATAGATCTTTTAGCATTCAAAGTCATACTCCATCTTTGGAATCTGTGCTGTGTGTAAAACCTCAAATTACCTTAGCTTATGCAAGTTATCTAGCACAAGATGATAGATAGGTGGCTAATGGGAAGTGATTGCTATTGTTACTATATTTTGTTAGCTAACTTGAAAAATATTAAAATTATATTTGATCCCCATATGCATAAAGACAGTGAACCATGATCCCAAAATGGGTCAGCTTCTCTGCTCCACCAAATTGATTAGGTGGCAGCAAAATGTGGTCCACCACAAGGGTCGTCCACAGCTGGAATGGTTTCGTAGGGCAGGGATCAGCAACCTTTTGTTAATGGCAGGCTGCATTAATGCAGCTCAGTCCCAAGTGGGCCATGGCTTGCAACCCAGCCACTACAGTTTTCCTTACTGCTGAATGCTTCCAGGTGCTGCTGATTTCCTCTGCAACTGAACGTTGCCACATGCTGCTAATTCTCTCTGGTGCTGAATGCTGCCAATTTCCCCCTGCTGTGGTAATCTGGATAAGATGTCTTTGCAGGCTGGATGTGGCCTAAAGGCTATAGGTTGCCACCCCTTGTTTTAGGGGCTGTTTCTGACAACTCTTGATAGAAAGTGTATACCAAAATAACTGCTAAACCCCACCCAACTCTGATAGGCCCTTTTAGCAATGCTAGGGATTGCATCTTAGCTGAATGTTTGACCTTGTATTTAAATTTTATGGGGGCTTAAAGCTTTTGCACTGGTTTTCTCTTGCTCTCTTTTTCAAATCAGATGAAATAATGCAAAAGTAAAGCCCAACATACATTTTACAAATTAAAAATCCCTGGGGTTTAATTGGTTTACAAAATGGCACTGATTTTTGCAAGGACAATTTATTTTTTTCATTGGGGCAAGTTAACATGCATCAGTTACATCTCCAGTTTATCTTCTGTCAGATTCATGTTGCTTCATTCAAGCCTTCATACATAAAACAGCCAGAAGGAATGCTCCAAATGTTTACTGCTATTCAGTTTGGCAAGTTCTTCTGTAGCCTCTGGGCCACTTAGGGAAAACAGGTTTTTTCAGATTTATCAAGTGTCAGGGAAGACTCGGAATTCAGATGGAAATCAGGTTTATCTCCATCTAAGAGCTGTACTTGGAGGGACTGCAGTCAAGTTTATTCTGTTTACTTTTAAAATGAATGTTCTTATGAATAATCAACAGAAATAGGAGCCTGCAGAATGTACTGTCGCACATATGGGTCTCTGGTAAAAAAGAAATATAATTTTAAATAATTAACTAGGGCTATATATAGCTGTCATTAGATACAATTACAGAGAGTTCAAACATCTGGGGATTTATCTCTTTTATGATGAGTAAATGCTCTGCATCTATTCCACACGGTAACTAGGTAAAAGGCGGGCCCCTTACTTCCAGTCACAAAAAGTGTAATTGTAGATGTGGCACTGTGACAAATGCACAGAAGGTTGCAGAAGGAGAAACCCATTTTCATTTGACAGAATAAATACCTAGAGCAAGGTCTTTTGACAGTGCTTCTGTTCATTTGCAAGATTCCTTGGTGTCAAGCACATGAAGAACATATTTAGGAGTAAAGCAGGGTGCAGAAGCCAACATACTGGAGTAATGAAATATTTGTGCTGCTGTAAAGCATGTAGCCATTATATCACTACCCTGCTCAAGTCCCTTTACTGACTACCTGTCTCTTTGCACAAGAAATTTCCACAAGAAGTTAAAACACTTTATCGTCACTGCTGGGTCTCTTCATCCTCATTCTGGGTCTCTGTACTACTTCCTGCATCTCTCTCCTTTTTTACTACGTTCTTCTTTTTGCCTTGCTTCTTGTCTCACTGTTGTGTCACTTTTGTCCTATTCTTGCTTTCAGCCTCCCTTGCTTCCATTCTTCTAGGACAACCCTCTATACACCTACAGAGTTCTCCTTCAAATACCTACACATCCATCTTATTTTCCACCAATTATTTCCACTCCCACCCTTCTACCTTCCACTCTACTTTACAAATGGTAGGTCTAACAGGAAAAATATTCACAAATATATGTGTGTATGATAAAAACCCTATTTGCTATGCTATCTTGAATTGCTATACTATCTGGAATCCCCTTTCTGCCAGTGTTCAATTTGGTTTATACTAGAGCACTTTGCTGATTGAACTACACTGGTATGCCTTACTGGTAAAGAATTTCTTCTGTGGATGCAGTTTATACTGGTAAAAAAGGCCGTTTGCCTGTCTAATTATTAAACAACACTTTGCCCCCCTCCACCTTCGCTAGACAAAACAAGCTACATCAGCAAAGATGGAGTTTTGCTAGTATAGTTGCCTTTACCCTAGGGGTGTGGTTTACAAACCTTTCTTTTGGCAACCACGCTTCTGGGCTAATGATTTCACTTCCGCAATTTCCAGTGTTTGTGACCATACTTTTAAGTACTATAACCCCTCATTTGGGAACTACTGAACAAGAAGCCTCTGCTGGCACATCTATCTTATGGTCCTCACTAAATTTCTGAACACCATAGCTATGGCACCATGGCAATGGTGCAGCACCATTGTGAAAGAAGCTTAATTTGTAATGACAAGAGAAAATGAGACTTAGTTTTACAAAGAACATATTAATCCAAAAGGTGCATGCTTCTAATGATTCTAATTTACATGAAGATAACTTTGTCCCTTCCATAATTAATAGCTTAAATTTCACTTTGAGAGAAAACCAATCCCTATTTAAGGCCTTAATCTTCAAAGAATTTAAGAAGGCAAAAATGTCATCATTAAAGTCATAGAGAAGCTTGCAAGCGTAAATTATGAAGGGGGTATATGCATGGAAATGTTTTATTGTTTTTCTGTTTACTACAGTGGCTGAGTTTTGAAAGCAGTAAGCTAATCATACTATATGAGAGTGAAAATGGGATTCAAAACTATATTTTAAAAACTTTAAAAAAGGAAGAGAAAGAGAAAACCCCACATGAATAGGTTCTGCACTACAATTGGTTGTTCTTACTGACAACAGCCACATCAATAAACAAAAAGGAGACTGACAGACTTTTATACAGCCCCATGCTATGTTTTACTAGGTCCTTTAAAATGCTCTGAGCAAGTGGCCTATAATTCTAAAGGCAGAAAGTCTTCATGGAGGATTGATTCATTACTGTCACATGGCAAGAACTGTTTTTTGGTTTGCTGACTTATGCATCAGAGACTGCTCAACTTCAATATAATTTATTTTTTTATAACATCTTTCATAAAAAGGCATCATAAAACCACATTTCAGTGGCATCTGTTCACATGCTAAAGTGAAAATGAAAGTTTGCAGGCAAGATTTAGAGAGAAGAGGTAATGCTGTTGGTTTGGGTGGAAGGGTGATAAAAAGAAGATTTTCAGATAGGCACTGCACAAACTAAAAGGTGGAAATGAAATGGCTAGTTTAAAGGAATATTGAACAGGTAGCAGGGAGACCAGGGAGTTTGATACTTTGAATCCAGAATTGTAAAAAAATAAAGTAAAAAAAACCCACCCCCAAAATACAGATGATCTAGAAGATCAAATCAATTATATTTGAGAACAAATAGAACAGCTGGTGAGGATGAATACTTCATGCTTACTTGGGTTGTAGAATTATGGACTACAGATGAAGATTAATCATTAAAAATGGAAATGACATGAATACATTGAGATGTGATACAATTAAAGGATAATTTAAGATGATGGAAGAGGCAGAGAAAAGACAAACATGAATCCTGACAGTGTTCTAGAGATGGTGTAAAGCAGACTTACAAAAAATGTAGAGAGAAAAAAGTATCATTTAGTGTGTGACAACTCCTAGCTTTCTGAGCTTCCAAGCAAAAATTTAAATTGAAAACCAGAAACTGAACATAATTCTAAACCAGAATTTCACAGTGGACACTGTGGGCCTCAAAACAAGGTCCTGGATCTGAACTTCCTTTAATTTGTGAGGTTGTTGCAAATATAAGTTTCCACTTAGGAAAAGCTCAGATGCTTCAGTAGCTCATGGGCATACAAAAAAAGTGACGGGGATAACAAACTTGCATCTTCACTGATGTGCCAATGCCACATGCCATGTTATTTCAAGCTAAGCTACAAGAATGTATTTATTCACTTCCAGCAAAAAAAGTCATTCATGTAAAGATTCCAGGCATCAAAGTTTTTGGTTTCTACTACAGGAGACATCATTAAGTGCTTGATAATACAGTTCAATCTGATAACAAATGCATGCCTTTCCCAAAATCCCATTGGCTCATTAAACCACCATGAGGTGAGGTACAGTTCATTGGGTACCTTGGAGGCTTTATGTTTAATATCAATGTGACTATAAAAAGAAAGCAGGGGCAACATTTGGGCACATAATCCTCCTTGCTGCATTATAGTTCAGAAAGCTAATTCTGGAATTCACCACCCTTCTGCATTTTGTCAGCGTACTTTCAAATTTACTATGCACATTCAAAGAAAGATAGCGAAGAAAGAGCAGCTCATAACCTCAGAAATTACAGATGGAAGTCCAAATTCATTTCTGAATCATCCCTACAGCCTTCAAGTTAAGTTACCTTAGGAACAGCTTTGGTTCAGGGTTTCAAAACGTATTTTAAGGGCTCTGGTGAGGAACAGAAAAGGGATGAAAGAACAGTGCAGGGTAGAATTACATCTGTGGAGGCCAGATCTTCAGCTCAGTGTTTTTTGAACTATGGTAAAGGGGGAAAGAAAACTACTGAGAACATTATTGACCTTGTTTCACTGCTAATGAGATATGCAGAGATTCTGCAAGTACAGCATTGAGACAGTCCACTATTGATAAGTTCTCTTCCAAAAACCTGAAAATAAAGCTGTTTAGAACACACTGCACACTGTACTGAGACATACTGAGCTCATCCTCAAACAATGGCTTATTATTTCCATTTTATTAGCAATTAATAGGAAATGAGAAGGGGGGAGGAGAAGGGAAAGGGAACCAGACCCTCTTATTCATCACAGATCTAAGATAAATGGAAATAAGGGTGTTGATTCTCATCTTCCTGGGTCCTATTTTGAACTAGCTTACTATTCCTCATTTTAATATATTTGCTCCTGTTTTACAAAAAAGTGAGCAAGTGCAGAGCCAGCTTAGAAATGCTAAGGAATTCATGTCTATATCTTCAGCTTCAAAATATATTTGATTACAGGCATGTGAACTTACTTTTCTAGTAGCTTTTATAGATTTCACCAGTACAGTACAGAACATATGTTCTTTATTACCTGCTAGAAATGAAGTTCCAAGTTACTATCTGATGCTCTGAAAGGCCTACTTCTAATGTAGAGTGATTCCCTCACACTGCACGAACACATAACTATCTCTCTTCACAGTCATACACTCAGTAGCATCTTAGTGCCTTCATTTACTCTACTACTGCTATATACTGTAAAGGAACACCACCTTATACGGCAAGACTTCATAGCACTTGTCTTTCTTTATTTAGTAGTTTTCATGATTGCAGAGCTACAAGTTAAGTGACATCAACTCATACTTGTAATATTTCCTGAGAGACATCACAGGCATTAGCATCCCCATTTTAGGCATAAAGGAATCATGACAGACAGAGAGGCAAAACTAACTATACAGAGCTGCACAGAAAGTTGAGAAGAGCTGGAATTCGAGGGCAGGTGTTCCTACCTGTTTGACCAACGCCTCCAGAAGTAAACTACACTGCCATCTCAATAGAGCCCAGTGTAAACACAGTATATTACAGGTGCTTAAGAAATTATGCATTTGAAATGTGACTGGAACAAATCCCAGTGTGTGAATATCTCCCAAAACTTGAGGAAGATGAGCTGAAGATTTGTGTCTTGTATCCACTGCTATTACTCTCTCCCTATTGTTTTGTTTTCAAACACAGTACAACACTTGAGTATTTGGTGCATTACATATACAATGTAAGGAACAGTCAACGGCATTTCTTAGTAAGATACGTACTTTTGTAAAAATTCATCAGACCCACACACAATGAGAAAACACTCTTCCTGCTCTGGATATTGATCTGTGCAGCGGAGGATCTCTGCAATTAAGTCACGGACAATGCAGCTAGCTGTAAACAAAGATAGTAAGAAAAAATTAATAGGATTTTGGTAGAGAATTGTTGGCAAGATTTTGTAGCAGAGAATATAAGATTCACAGTGTAATTGTTAACTACTGCTGCAGTCTAGCTCCATCAAGAGGAATCAAAATGAGTCACAACTGATTTAACATTTACTTTTTTTCCCTGTGACTTCACAGAAGAGTGAATTTTTGCAATTTATCCTGTCCTGAACTCAGCCTTGTTTTGAGGGTACTTGTGTCTTAAACTATAAGCTGATCAACTATGAATCAGGAATGGAAGAGACCCAAGTAATTTTCCAAAAAAAAGATATACTTTTTTTCCCATTCTTGTTGAAAGCTAGTCTACATTACCCATAGCAAATGGATTTCTTCTCTTAAACAAGGCCCAAAAGCTACTCCAGAGATTTAGGTACCACTATAACCTGCTACATCCATTTCACTTAACCATGCCCAGCAATGGCTGGGTGCAAACACTGCATGCAGATGTATATTAATAGGTCTCAAGGCATATAATTTAGTGGTCTGAGGATTTCTTCCCAGGCCTGCTTCCACTTTTTTGTCACATCAGGATGCGAGTATCTGAGCCTGGGGCCATTCAGGAGCTCAGGCACAGAGCGCAGTCAAGATGGCTGAACAGAATCTGAGGACAACCAGGTCAGGGAGCCAGGAGGTCAAGCCAAGAGCAGGGACTGGGATCAAACCAAATCTAGAAGACAGAAGATCATGTAGAGAGCAGAGCCAAGAAGCAAGCTGAATTAAGAAGCCAGAAGATCACATAGAGAGCAGGACAGAGGAACAAGTCAGCAGGAACAACACAGTGATCCAGGGTCAAGTTAAACCCTGCTGCCCAGAGGCTTTGTGGACCAAGTTAGGAGTTTATATGGGGAAGTAGAGGGTCAGCTGACCCTAGGGCTAGGGGCAGAATTACACATGAACTGGTTTAAGTGACCAGAAACTGGTTTAAACCTGTAACAGAACAGAAGCTCAGTGCACATAAATTAGTTTTAGCGTTTAATCCATTTTCCATCAGGCTGAGACCTTTTGGGAGGATTTGGTCCCAAAATGAAAGAGATTACACAGAAAGATTATGTTTATTCAGGGTATGTACAATCACTACATTTTGAAGAAATATTTTCTTCCAGTCAGATTGTCTACAACCCAAATAACCAAAACACAAAGAAGTTCATAGATACTAGGGTTGGAAGGGACCTCAATGGATCATTGAGTCTGACCCCTGCCGGTGGCAGGAAAAAGTGCAGGGGTCATGTGACCCCAGCCTGGTGTTTGTCCAATCGCTTCTTGAAAACCCCCAAGGTAAGTGAGAGCACCACCTCCCTTGGAAGCCCATTCCAGATTCTGGCAACCCTAACTATGAAGAAGTTATTTCTGCTGCCCAACCTAAATCTACTCTCTATCAGCTTGTGGCCATTGTTTCTGGTTATTCCAGGGGGTGCACTGGTAAACAGAGCATCTCCTATTCCCTGACCCCCTCCCCGCCACGGGTGAATTTATATAGTGCCACACAGCCGTCTCTTGCGGAGACTGAAAAGTTCCAAGTCTCTTTCCTCATAGGGCCTTCTCTGCAGGACTCTAACCATATGAGTGGCCCTCTTCTGGACCCTCTCAAGGTTGTCCACATCCTTCTTGAATTGCAGCATCCAGAACTGGATGCAGTACTACAGCTGCAGCCTGACCAGTGCCACATAGAGGGGAAGCATCACTTCCCTGGACTTATTTGTTATGCAAAGTACGGTTAGCTCTGCTACTTACTTCTTCACATTGATGGCTCACATTCATCTTGGAGTCGACAATGACTCCAAGATCTCTTTCTGTCACTGTGCTGCTGACAAGGTCATCCCCCAGCCTATAGGTGTGTTGGTGATTCCCTCTCCTTAGGTGCAGCACCTTGCACTTGTCCTTCTTGAACTGCATCCTGTTGTTCTCTTCCAACTTCTCTAACCTGTCCAAGTCCACCTGGATTTGGTTTCTTCCCATCAGTGTGTTTCCTTTGCCCCACAGTTTGGTGTCATCTGTGAATTTGGACAGAGTGCTTTTCATGCCCGCATCCAGATCGCTGATGAAGATATTGAACAGCACTGGCCCAAGGACTGATCCTTTGGGGATGCCACTCCCCACATTTTTCGAAGTCGATACCGACCCATCCACCACCACTCTCTGGGTATGAGCCTTAAGCCAAGTTGTAGGGTTTTTTTTAAGTTTAATCCCTTCCAACAAGTCATATTTTGTCAATTACTCAAAGATCAATACAAACATAAAAAAATTGCAATCCAACCCCTCTCGTCATTGTTCCCCTTGCCAAAAAAAAAAACCCCAAACAAAAAAAACAGATGTTGCGTCTGTTTTGCACCACAGTATGGATACATGACAGCAGTAAATTGGCTTAATTAGCCAGCTAAATAGAGTTTTAGGGGCAGCTTTGCCTCAAAACAGTCATAGCTTACAAGAGAATCTGGTCCAAATTTTTCAGGCTTTTTTTTTTTTTTTGAAGGTAGAACAATAAATACCAAATTACTTTTCATGTAACATTGAGGAAAGAAATAAAAAAATTCTCAATGAAAAAATTACCAAAACAAACAAAAATAATGTCCTCAGTTTAAATGAAAAATAACATTTTTTGGGTTTCAGTTTCTTCGGAGAAAAAAATCCAGTGTCCACATCTTCATTAATGATGTGGACATTGGAGTCAGAAGCGGAATGGCCAAGTTCGCCAACAACATCAAACTTTGGGGCAAAGCATCCACACCAGAAGACAGGCGGATGATCCAGGCTGACCTGGACAGGCTCAGCAAATGGGCGGACGAGAACCTGATGATGTTTAACACCAAAAAATGCAAGGTTCTCCACCTTGGGAAGAAAAACCTGCAGCATCCTTATAGGCTTGGCAGTGCTACGCCGGCTAGCACTATGGAAGAAAGAGACTTGGGGGTCATAGTTTCATAGTTTCTAGGGTAGGAAGGAACCTGAGTAGATCATCTAGTCTGACCCCCTGCCATGGCAGGAAAGAGTACTGGGGTCAAACGACCCCAGCAAGGTGTACATCTAGCCTCTTCTTAAAGACCCCCAGGGTAGGAGCCAGCACCACTTCTCTTGGAAGTTGGTTCCAGA